TCAACGTACTTTTCATTGTTATCCATTTTCTATTACCAAACATCACAATCCACTCCTGGTGCCTTACGCCTTGGTAACCTTTTCATCACAGCCTTGACATCATCACTTGGGAATCTCAATGCGTCCTCGCCTGCTGTAGTGCTCGATAAGTCATAAGGTAAATCATTGCTTCGTGTTTCAAATTATGGTGGTCGATTTGTTGGTAGTGCTGATCCTGAATAAACACTAGCCAAATGATCCCTCATGACTTGTACCCCTGCTGCCGGTCCATCCACGTGTGTGAACCACACTTGGGACTTGCGTCTCGCCTTGATATTGCTGACTTGATTCAACGCCTTTGAAAAATCGCCACATTCGAGCGTATCCCGAAACGTATTCCATGCTGCCCTTTTTGCTGCCTTGAGATTCTTGATGAATGTGGCATGTGCCTCCTGATGCTTACGCCACCATTGTACCTTTTCAATGCCTTTTGCCGATCTCCATCGTTTGTAGTATTGCTCCCTTTGATCTGCCAGCCCTTGGAAAGTTGGTGTCCAAAACTTTTTCCATTATTTGGGTCTTGCTTGTCGTGAGCCCACAGCTGTATCCAGTGCCTTATAAACGATATCATTGAGCCTGCCATTGAGATCATCTATAGGCGGCTGTGTGGTTGGTGCAGCTGATTGGATTGATGATAGGTCCTGTAATAGTGGTGCTGACAAGGAGGTAAATGTGTCGCAATACAAATCTCTTACTTCTGGTTCCTGTAGCCTTGAAAGATTCCACATACGCCGTGGTGAACTTGAAGAGTGTGTTGATTCGCTATTGTTTGCTGCATTTGCTGGTCTGTATCCAAAAGACAATGTCATCAACTTGTGATCCGATCCCAATGAAAGCTCTGTTGCCACGTGCATTGTCGGCTGTATGAGGTCGTTGCTGTTGGTCAAAAAGTAGTCGACAATGCTGCTGATCTCATATCCACTGCGTGCTGTAATGAATGTCGGTGTTCCATATGCGTGTATGCTGTTCAAATTGTCGAGTTGGTGAAAGTTGCACCAATTTTTCAAGAGGTTGCCTCGGGGATTCGTGTCCGTATCACCCGTGAATTTTCCCATTCTCGCATTGAAATCGCCGCAAATGATTGTCTTGTGAGTGAGTGGGAGTGCTGAAAGTGTTGTGTTGATTGTCTCGGGGTCACGCAGTGGCGGCAAATATAAGCATATGATACGTAGTGAGCGACCAATTTGTAAACCAAGGGCATACTTAGTCTTCAAAGGGAATGTGGATACTGGGAAAGGACATGATGGTGAAATGAGAGCTGACACGCCTTGTGATCCTCTGTATCCCCCTTCGACTTGTTGTCCATATAAATGAAATTGCTGCCATGATGTGTAAATCCTCTTTGGTGCAAGAAGCCAAGTTTCTGTAATGAGGAAAATGTCGATAGAGCTGCAGTGTCGTAGTACGTCGTTGATGGTTGTTGCTGAGAGCCCATTGGCGTTCCATAGGCCAATAGATAATGTCTTTGTTGATTGATCACGTTGGATGATTTGTTGTTGTTGTTGTATATATTGTTGTTGTTGTTGATGATGGTGGTCTTGAGTAGGTATCCCGTGGGAACCACTCTCATGAGTAACTACCCTTGGATAATTACTCATTTTGATCTTCATGAGTCGAGCCTTGCTCCATCGCCTCATCATCATCTTCCTCCATAGGGGTGTTGCGTCCATCATATTGTGGGTCGTCGCGGTGTGGAACGTAACCTGCACATCCTTCCAAAGCCTCTGATAACGTATCCCTGTCCATAAATCCATGTTCAACGAATGACTTGCCAACGTTGACTGCAATGTGGAATCTCATTCTGGCTATAGCTCTGCTGCATCGATTCAAGTTGAGTTGCATGGCCATTTGCACTTTTTCATCGGTGGTCTTTGATACGTGCTTCGGGTCTGCGATATGCTTTGGATCCAAGGGATCAAAGTTGCTCAACGCTTTGATCTTGGCTTGCTTCAACGTTGCCAGCAATTCCTCTTTGTATTGTGCATGGATCAAGATGCCGAATGTGTCTTTGGCAGGGAATGTGATATCCAAAACGCGGTACGTGTCAATGCCAATCGTTCTCAATTTGGCCCTAGCTTCACGATACGACATGCGGTGTGATCTTGGGATATAAATATAATCATACCCCTTTGGTGCGTCTGGATCCATAGGTTGAAAAGCTCGAATAGCTGCATCGTACTTTCTCATTGTGCATGTACGTTGCTGATCAGGTCGATACTTTTTGGCCATATTGGCCCATGATGATGCCTGTGTGCCTTTTGCTGATCGTGTTGCTGTTGTTGTGCTAGCAGGCTTCTTTTGGATCTGTACCACCTTGGAGCTTGCAGTTGTTTGTTTCATCTGATCAACTTTGGCCATGAGTGCAGCGTTTTTTTTCTCAAGCTCCTTGTTGCGTGCCGTCAGCTCGTTGATGCTTTTTTCATATTGTGCCAGCTTGGCTTTGAGTTCTGGGACGGTGTTGAGCACTTGTTTGGTGGTGAGCACGTTGTTGGTGAGCATGGTGAACAAGGCCGTCATGGGCGAGTCTTGTGGCAGGGTCTGGATCAGCTGTTGCGCTTGCTCCATTTCCAACTTTTGACTGATCTCGAGATTGGTAGAATTTCGCGACATGTTGAAATCCCTTGGTAAGTCAAAAGTTCCTTTGTGTGTTGTAAGTTGTTGTTGTTGTTACTGATAGGTTTGTTGCTTAGAAGTATATATGAAAACAGTGGTTGATTCAATCCGGATAAAAGGTTTTCCAAAAGCGGAAGTGAGAAGAAAGCGAATGACACGGTCGGTACAGTAGTTTTAACGATTTCCTCCGGGATTACTTGACAGGTAAGGGATGTGATTCGATATGCACCAAACGTATTAATGTTCAATGCTTCTTATATGACAATCGACGAGAAACGATAATCCAATGGCCATGAAGTTACTATCCAACAACGTGCACCACAAATCAATTCAAATCTTCAGGTCAGGATAATGTTTTTATTTCATCAATACAGCTTCTTTTATACTTTTCAATGTCGAGTCACTATCAAGCGGATCTAAGGGGTGATGATGATGTGGAAATACGTAAGCGAGGGATTCAATGGATACATTTTCATGGGAACAGGATCGGGTAACAGATGGGAAGATAACAAGAGAAATGGATGATGACATGGATTAAGGGGTCACGTGAGCATGAGGTCTATGAGTTCTATAGGCATTCTTGAGTATTTTTCCTAACAAGGTACGTTTGACCGGAAAAACCGGCTCATGCCGTGTCACGATGTCAGGTCCTTGCTCCTAGTTGTCTTGTTCTCTTTCCGTTTTTGTA